ATAATATGCGCTTATATTGTTTTCAGTCACATTTTTTATATTTAAAAATGAAGGAAATAAGAACAAAGTGAATGTGATTTGCAGCATATGTAAAACAATTAAAAGGTTATGTCAAAATGAATGTCGAAGAACAATCTAATCCTTAATGTCGAGAATGTTTAAAATCGTGGTAGGATTTTGTTTTATATAATATTATATCGAACTGGTTAATGCTTAGATTGGCGACAAAATGTTTGTATATCGAATTCAAAGTGATAATACAGTGAATTCAAAGATTTTTCGCATCAGAAACTGTTCGTGTGTGCAGCGTCCGCCATTTTGCTTCCCTTACATCTGACATGTCTTTCTAATGTTATTATCGATGAATGCTGGAATTTGTGCGTGAATCTTCAATCTTGTTGGAGTGTATCTTCCAGGAAAAAGGTCGGATTGCTCCTGATTGGACAACAACCTCCATTGCTATTGGAAGTAATCTGCATTGTCCCAACCTCGGTTAAACTAAGCGAAACATTGGGTACATAAAGAAAACTTCGTGAGCGTATTTATTGAAAGTTTACCCTTGTTAATGGGTACAAATATGCGAGAAGACTCATCCGATGAGTTTTGATGACTGTATTATTCAAACTTGATTACAGTATTTTGAACAGTGTCTTATTGTCTATATAAGGAGTGAACATAACCAAAAAGTGTTGATAGCCAGCATCGTGTACTGATGTCAACACTGAGATAAAAAGCATATTAATATGGCTTCGACTTATCAAAGATTAATAGAACTCCTAGAGTTAATATTCAATGCTTCTGTGTCGCACACAATGCAATTACTTGAAGATGCATAGAATATGTTTGATGTGAATTGCTATGCGAGGCAAGGATTGTTTTTACCCTGATCTAGCCATGGACTAAGTTTACGCTTATTGCTTGAACCAGAAGACTTTAGTAATTATCTTATACAATATTATGTATAGAAGTATATGAATACAAACACAGAGTGATACACAGCTTTAATCCTTATGGATATTATTAACTGTTAAAGTATTATTTGCACTTTTTA